ATATATATGCGACGGACCAAAAATTACAGGTTGGAATCTTTTGTGGAAGAAGGATTTTGACAGTGGTTTCGGAGGATGAAATGCTGGAAGTAGCAAGAAGACTGAGTATGCAGCACATAGCGGAAGCTGCGGATTAGTCTGGGGCGTCAGGTTCTACAGATACACCCGTGTATGAGAGCGTGAAACATAAGGCAGAGTTAGGAGTGAGGCATTCCCTTGATCGTATAGAAGAGAAGTACTACATGGCAGAATAGATGCAAGAAGAGAAAGAATACGAAGTGTGGGATATGGCACAAGACCCTGAGCTGGTCATAGATGACATCGTTGAATTTGCCAAGAAAGTGCAGACAACTGAACAACAAGTGAAAGATCTCTTACAGTTGTTTAAAACCGTGGCTTACGATGCGATGCATCCTAAATTTCTCAAGGTAGATGACCTGGTGCTGTACGAGAAGTAGGGGGCAGTACCTCAATACTCTAGCTACTTCCATGCTGATAAGCAGAGGTCTGCTGCTCTGGATGAAAAGGTGATGGCGTGGTTGAGAGCAGGCATCATAGAAGAGACAGTGAAGAGTGCTTGGTGTTCAGCTCCTCATCTGGTGTTCAAGAAACCAGGAGTAACGCCAAAAACTGTAGAAGATTGAAGATGTTGCGTGAATCTCAAACAAGTGAACACGCAACAAAAGGCGGAGCCGTATCACATCCCATTGTAGAGAGATTATTTGTCCAAGCTGAAGGAGAAGAAATACATAACCACATTGGACATGGTGGCAGGCATTCTGCCAGTACAAAATAGATCCTGAATCTCGCAAGTACCTGTTATTCGTCACTCTGCTCGGTCGATACACCCTTGTAGGTATGCCATTCGGATTGAAGGAGGCATTTTGGCGATGCCAGGAGATACTAGGAGAGATTTTTGCGGGCTTGGACGATGTTGTATGGTACATAGACGATCTCTCCTTTGCGCATGATGACCCAGTTGCTCGTTGGATTGGACATGTCTGTGGGAGTTTATGCAAAGGTTTAAGATATACAATGTACAGTTGCGACTATCAAAATGCATAGTGGCCGCCGGTGTTAATTATTGGACGAATGATAGATTATCGAGGTTCAACGATGGGACCGGACATGATAGATTATTGAAATTCAACGATGGGACCGGACCGACTACATACCTTGTTGGAACTCACCGAGCCTACTAACAAGGATTTGCTAGAATCCTGGTATCACACAGTAGAATGGTGGTCAGATTACGTGCCTAATTTTGCTAGAGTAATGCAACTGCTAGCAATACTGACCAAGGAAGATAGCATGTTTTAATGGGGCGAGGCACAGAGAACAGCTTTCTATCATATGGGTGAACTGTTACGTACCTGTGCAATATTGGTGAAGCCGCGACTGGAGAAACAGCCAGCTGGCTATATTTGCCGATGCGTGTGAAGCGATAGGTCTGGGAGGGGTACTGTGCGTCAGGCGAGGAGATAAGTTCTTTCCAGCGAGTTTCTTTTCTTCTCGATTTGATATGGCTCAGCGCTCTTATCACATAACAGATAAGGGGGCGTTGGCGTTAGTGTACGGTATTCAAAAGAATATGGTTACGTTAAGACGAATTACACCGACAATATTGCTTTACACTGACTGACCACTTACCCTCGGTGGCGATATTTTCTAAACCGCGAGAGTCTTTTGTAGACGATGCGGGGGGCAGACGTATGGGCAGATATTACGACGTCATACGTGATTTTGATGTAGAGTGTGCGTGGTCAAAATAACCCTGAAGCTGATGTGGTGTCTAGATTATGTGTTACTATTGACCCAATCAATAATGCGAGTGCAAACTGTAGGCACAGTTCTACGAGTGCGATTCTCAGAGCCGTTGGTGTCCATGGCTGCGACAGTAGAATATCAACTGACATCAATATTCTTTAAGCATGCGGATAAGTTGTGGGGCCCCCACACAGTGAACGGGGTCGCATTACCAGACAATTAGATCCTCTCTTTCTATTGCGTGCCCGCGCTCCGATTCTGGGGTGATCCGACAGTGAATTGGTTATCCTAAAACCCTATTGTCGGCATTTGTGGCTAAAGTAACCGCAGAGGCGGCTTGGTGCTCATTGGTCTGTCCATACTGGCCGGATGCAACTTGGTTTGCACGAATGGTACCTTTACTGGCTGACGACCCAATCATAGTGCCGAAGGTTGCTAGAGTATTCAATAGGCATGGCCATGACGAGGCTGGGCCACCCCCCTTTGTAACATTGATCTGTCGTTTAGGACCGTGCCCATTTAACTACGCAAAACACTGTGGCAGGAATGTGAGGCCGGTGCAGAGGCAGATACCAATGTAACGGTGACATCTATGTACGATTGCAAGTAGCAACAGGGAACTGTTTTCATTTAATCTTTTACTATATATGGGTATCAGCATGACCGGTTTTAGAACATCTTTGGCACTGGAAGTTAGTGTTAGGAGATGCACGCGATTTTTTGCCGACAAGATTATACACACTAATGAGGTATCGATCTTTCGTCATAGATATAACATTTCGTATTTGATCTTGGTTGACGGTGGTGGTCAATCTGTCGAGAACATGTTTTGTTGCATTTTATTGACGGACATGGTTTCTTAACGAACTTCTTCCTCTCGAACTTCTTTCTCTTCTCCTCTAAAATGTATTGCCTGCTTCAAATCAGACTTAAACGCATGTCCATAGTTTGTCTCGTGATTTAGTATCATCTCGCTGCGGCATATACAAGGATATATACAAGGATATAAGGCGTAAGGTAGGTTACAGCTTCCAGCCAGAACTCATCAGAAAACCCCACCTTGGTATTTAGTACCCGGGTCAGGCCGTTGATGCCAGATGCGTTGCGGAGAGAGAGTTGAGTAGCCTTAAGTGGGGTGCAGTTACGCAGAGTGTCGGCAAAGTCTTTCGCGATGCCCCAGAGTGGGATGGACATGCCAGTTTCAAGGAGAAGACATCGGACGAGGTTGTTGAGTGTGGCGTGTTGCCATTCAATCGTGGAGTTTATCTGTAGTGTGTGCAATGGTGTAGCACGCAGTTCACTGCCGAGGGAAGCACAATGATAATGAAGTATCTTGCTCTAAAGAACGGAGTCTCCGTCGGCCGTGAGGGTGTGGGGTTTCCTATGACGGGATATATGCGTAAGCAACGCGCCCACCTGTTGTTCAAGGAACGTTTTGTTCGGAAGATTCTTATGGGTGCCGAATGAGAAGCCTTCGTCGACCATTTTGAGAGCATAAATATTGCTGTCGCGGTCGGAGGGGTATGGGCCCCTGGAGGCCAATATGTAGTTTATCTCCAGGGCCGTAAAAGGTGTCGGTGGAGGAGTGGGCGACGCCCTTTACTCGAAGCTTGGCCTCGATGCAGATCGGGCAATACTTTTTGTACTCGGGGTGACGCGGGCATGCGTAATAGCGGCGGCGAGGGGTGGAGAGTGGTGGATAGCGGTGTGAAGTGGTCCGACGAGAGCAACGAGTGTATAGATCCAGAATGGCTTGCCTACAGCGGTCGTGCCGTGGTGGAGGAAAATGGAGGATATATACTTGATCAAGAATGGGTCAGATTAAAACGGGAACTGATGGCTATCCACCACTTTGCGCAGGGGCGGAGTGGCATCATCATAGTTACAATGACGCCGACTTTGGTGACTTTACCGGTAAGTTCGTAAATGTCCGTCCATTCCGGGGTTGCCGTGTGCTTTCTCATTGAGAGAATCGACATCACGCCAGTCCGTGTAAACGCCAACGCCTTTTGGACCTACAAATAGTGGGATTTGTGCTTTTGATTTACTGGCAACACAAATGTCTATAGTGGGGACCCAGTTGAGGTGCGAAATGGCCTTTTGCCATTTGTCAGGGTTCAGCATCCAGGCATTGGTATCCACACGGATCGATGGCTGGTGCGTGAGGGATATGTTGCAGGACTTGGCGAGGTTAATCCTAGCGCGGCGGCTCAAATGGCCGTTGTTACGGTGGAACTCGTCGTAGGTCATCGTAGTCTGGGGTAGGGGGGGGGGACTGGAAGGGTGCGGTCTGGCGGAGAAGCATGGTCAGTGCGCTGGGGATGAGGGACTGGTTGCAGGGCTGTTAGGAGTCTAGTGCGTGGGCGGGTTAAGGGTTAAAGGTATCGAGTTGGGAGAGCGTGATGTGGTAACCGCCACGATCGCGTGGGATGGTGAGGTGGTGGGGAACCCTTTGTGATAGTGCATGTCTTGCCGTTGCTGGAATATGTTAGGGTGTGTAGCCGTTGTCTTGTAATAAATTTTGGGAAATTAATTGTTGGACTAGTGAAGGGCTAACATAGGTCAATCCAATGTTAGGAAATATGCCTCTCTCGTTGATTGTGGTGGTAGATTCGTCGGCGAGCTGTAGCGGAAAGGTGCCAGTCTCAATTTTAGTGAGGCGATGGCGTGCCGTAGAATAGAAGTAGTTGACAGTGGCACCACCGTCGATCAAAAGCTTGTCGTCGGTGGGAGGTATAGACTGGCTTACTACAATGCGAGTAACATGGCAATATGATGTTTGAGTGAGTGATGGGGTTTGTCAATGTATAGGCGATTGAGTTTATTGCTTCGCTGGCTACAGACAACATCTAGGTGGTTCTGGCGGTTATATTTAGTACACAGGAGTGAAGTCGTCTTGCAGTCTCGAGCGAGAATGGTGTTGGGAGGACCAGCAAACAGAGCATTGGAAATGGCGCGGGGCAGGGGTTGTAGCTGTAGTGGTCATGGCGTTGACACGTTTGACTGTTGGTATGGTCAGTTTGTTGACGCGTGGGGGACGTCTAATATTCATCGACTTTTATTCCTCGACATAGAGACAGAGATTCTGGATGGTAATGACGCGGCGGGATGTCGTAGATCGGCCAAGGAGATACCATTTTGTTTATTCTTGGCAGGAATTTGGATGACCAGACAGAAAGAGGACCTGAATGTAGTCCGAGGAGAAAATAGTACCTTGTTCTTTTGCATTGCTAATAAGGGTCTCGTCGTAGGGCTTCGTCATCATTTCTGCGGAATCAACGATGGGATGCGTGGGTAACTACATGCTTGCGGTCTTTGGCGGAGTGATGCTTGAAGCGGCGGATCAAGGTGTTCAGGAGAAGCCAGGGGTGTTCAAGGAGAGTGTCATTGTGGAGAGAAGTACGTATATCAATCGAGATAGTATTGGGTGAGCGTGGGGCAATGGAAAACCCTTGTTTGCTGGTTTGGGTTTAGACCGAGGGGAAGTTTAACTTGACCCGAGAAGTTTTTTAATCAATAAACTTAATAAATTTTAGTCCTTAGTTGATAGATCTTTTTACAAAGTCGACGATGGCTGTCTCTTTTTGACTTCATCTCGAATTGGTGTCATTTTCCTGTCAGAGTTGGCCATCGTCAATGAAATCATCACAGTTCTATCTCGGTTGGAACATAGACATGTCAAATAACGTTTGTTTTTGTTTTTTGCGCCTTTGTGTATTGAGAAAATGGCTCAAAATATAGTACTTTTACGAGTTAGTACGCCTACGAGAGAATATCTTCTTGTGTCAATCAGATCGGCACCGTGGTTCAGGAATCCGGGTATCGTAGCAGCATAGGCTTCCTGATGTTTGCAATTGTTGTCACACGCGCGGACATTATTTTCGCTACGAGCATATGTTTAGACCAGCCAACGAATGCAAGAGAGGCCACCGCTAGGAACCTATGTGGAAAATTGGAGGCACTGATTGCGGGATATTCTACGAGTCTGATAACGATCTAGGCCTATATGCGTATGCTGATGCAAACTACGCTGATGAGAAGGATCCATTTATTTCTTATCAGTGAGCTTGAGCTCGTCTATCCAGAAACCGGAGGTGTTTCTCTCATCATATATTGGGTCCTATAAATTTGGCTCGGAAAGAATGCCAGTTTAAATCAACGACCTAAGTTATATGTATAGAAGTGAACTGTATAAACAATTGCCCCATGGGTGTCGTATGTGGTAGATGTACCCCATATGTGAAAACCGCTACGAAAATCACGATGATCATAACACACAGGACTACCAAGTAGATAGATACAATCGACGCGACTACGACGATGGTAGATATTTACGTGATACTCGAAGTTCACAAAACAGTGACAGAACATACCGATCCCAGAGCAATCGACGCTAAGCTCGTGAAGGCAGAAAACAATGTCAGTACAAGTATCCGATGACCTGCTCTGCTACCTGCTTACAGACAGATTGTATTCTCCACAATAAACCCTACAATCGACTACAAAGGTAGTGAACGATCAGTCAGACAAAGCTTCCAGAGGTGGGTACTGACTAGCTTACGATAGTTGTGCCACAACACATATATATTTCCCTAAAAGTACCACACGCATCATCTCGTCCGCAACATACGCATTAATGACCGGTATGCGCTCGAAGTAGCTGATGGTACAATCATTTATTCGAAGTATGTGGCTCAACTAGGAAACTTAGGGAACGACTACTAAGTATCAGCCTGTTTTCAGCGCGACACTACTCATTTGAACTCACCAACAACATAATACCAAGCTTTAGAACCATAACAGTACATGGAAAGCACAGAATATAGTGCGTGTACATCGACGACATAGCTATGACTGTAGTGGAATCATCGCTGGAGAAAGCCAACCAGATTTCATGACACAAAAGGCTCGCGCACGCCAGCTACGTCCCAAAAAATGGACCATACATGAGGCAACTAGAAGAAAGATGCAAAGCATGCACTTTTGTCAAGACGAAGAACAATAATACAAACAACGAATGACAGCACGAACCTGCCACAGAGTCTATCGAGTTAATCATCATGGACAACGTCAATAGAATCCAACACCCACTCTGTACCAATCATAGACGACTTTCTAGCATGGCCAAAGAGTATCCGCTCCGCGATCTGAATGCAACAACTATTCTGGATGCTATGTTACACACCTTCGATAAATGGTATATTTTAACTCACCACCGAGTTCAGTGCATACAAATGGATTGAGGCTCACAGTTTACAGCAAACGTAACGAGGCACATGCTTGTGTATGTGGGATACTGCTCTAGGTACGCACCTACGGCCACGCCACGATACCATGGCAAGGTAAAGGGGCTGACGAACATCTGTATATTCCTCCAAATCGAGAATGGCGATTTCCAAACAGATGTAAGGACAACATCGACAACGCACGATATGTTTAGCCAACGAGCCCAGCGAAATGTGACGCAAAAGTCGAGCAACTCAGAACGACTACAAATAACTTCATCGTCAAACCAACAAGCCTGTTGAGAGAGAAGTACATACCGTTGAATCAGAGGTTCATGCAGCGACTATCAAAGCACAACACGATCTCAACGCAACTATAGCTAGACGAACGGCAGAAGGTCGTCAAGTCTCTCGATAACTGCGAGTCCTCGCGATATATGATACTTATATCAACTGGTATCACGATAATCGTTGTAAGAGACAATATCCTAGCACAACGCACACTGTTAATTCAACAACTGCAGCAATAGAACCGAACCAAACCACGAGAGAAATCATTATTCCCTCCTCGATGGGTATTCGACGGAAAAACGGATGAATCAGGACAAGTCCCACGATTCAAATCACGTCTGAACGTAGCAGTATTTATTGCAAAACAGGGCATCGAGTACGATGAAAGCTATGCTCCAATAACAGCCAAGGAAACACTCAGAATCTGTCTAGCTCTGATGACACAATGCGACATGAACGTTCGATAATACGATACACTTTCGGCCTACCTCACTCAAGAACTGGATACCCCTAGCTACATGCGAGTTCCGCAATGATACGATCTCATCAAACATCTACTGGGTCCGTCTCAGAGACGGTTATACTAAAGGCACTGACAAGGAAACACTAAAGCTATCCGTCGGTTTGCTATACAACACAGTTATAAACAAACATAGTCGGATGGAGCACTGTTTATCAAACAACCCCAAGTGAACCGTGGTTCGTCATTGTACATGTAGATGACAAAACTGCAGCATGCCACAGTAAGACTGACGGACAGAAACTAGCCGACGCAATGAAAGGCGAATGGAACACTGTTGATATGGGCATACCGTTGTGGTTTCTCAAGTGCCAAGTGGAAATACGCCCTGGAAGAGTACGTTTCCATCAACGACAATGCCTAAGAAAATTTTTGATAGACTATAAACCAGCACGGGTGCCAAGTTTAGAATCGGACTATGAATTAACAGACAAACACGAATATCTCCCAGAAAAAGCGGCAGGTTCAGACATCCCAATAACCAACAACACAACAAGCTAGTAGGTTAACTACGATACCTTGTAGACCAAACAGTAGTGGATATGTGCTTTGCTGTTTCGATCATAAGCCGCTATCTGACAGCACCACAGTACCACCCAAGGTGCCAAGCGCTGTTTGAAGTATCTCTCGCTGGTACTCGAGACTTCGGATTCGAATTTACGAACAAAGCACCATGTGCCCCTTAAATGAGCCCAGACAGTAGTTTCGCCAGCGATGATACAACAAGACGATCCACCACCGAGCGAGTGGGCATTATAGCAGGTGCACCCGTCTACAGCAGATGCATAATACGTCACACAGTCTGATACAGCCAGAGACGCAGTATGGGATAGGAATCTCTTCACGGAATTCGGCATTCCGCTCGCAGAGACAACAAGTCAGTAATACTATTGGGAAATGGTATCACGGAATCCCGCCGTACCATACATGTCAACTTACGATATCATCACATCAGAGCATTCACATCGAACAGCACCTTCAAGCTAAAATACAAACCATCAGAACAGTTACTCAGCGATTTCTTCACGAAGCCTCTCCAGCCGAGAAAAGTTCATCGATATACGCGACCGATATGGCTTGGATACCAGTATCAATCCAGTTCCATCCATAACAAAGGTAAGTATTTTAAAGAAAGCAGGTGTCAAATGCTTTGTGCTTCTATCTCGGACAGCAAACCATACAAGCCTATTGTACGTTACAAAAAGAATGTGTACAAACTGATTTTACTATATGTAAAAATATAAATATAAATCATGTACACACAATATTTAACTATATATTTGTTTACATACTTGTTCCTATCGATACACACCCCCAAGTATTTACTTGTGCAATATATATAACGGATTGTATTCTATGACATAAATACTATGAAGTTAAAGTTGAATTCCGCAGACAACCTGTATTCATCGATACATATAACATAAGTATCTTACTGGATCTTTGTAATTTTTATGCGTGATACAGTAAAAGTTGCATACCTGTGACAACTTGTTCACCCGCAAGATAAAAACAAAATTGTGAATTTTGCAACCCACTGGCCCCACAGGGCCCACAACCTCACACTGCCTCGGGAGTAATTTAAGCAACTTGACTAGCTCTCGAGAGTGAGCTAAGTCTGATACCTTCTATATATCTACGAGAGCTTCTTGCTATACATTCTGGTCTGAAGCCTGTAGTCTCTCAGGGGACATACTTCGCTTCCGCTATAATGAAGTATTATAAAGAAAAAGCGTTGTCTTCCGGCATATTGTGATATAGTACTTGATGTTTATTGTAGAGATGACGTATGTCATGTCACACAGTTGGGGAACCCCATACTCTTGAACAGGTTTCCTAGATATGTTGAGGAGAATATGCCACATTCAATTTGGTCTAAGTACAGTCTGTTGTCTTTATTGAGGTAAGTGACGGTGGCGCCATCGTCTATCAATAGCTGAGACAGTTTGCTGTGCGATTGTCAGTCGAGTCTGTCCGTAAATTTATGTTTGAGATCATTGTTTTTGAATGTACAAATAATAAAGTCCGGATAAGAAAAAATGATATTTTTTTCCGACTACAACACACAAATCACAAAGTGGTTGGATTGGTAGCGGTTAGCGCATTTGGGGGCCGTGTCATACATTTGTGGGCGAAATCAAGCCAGATGCCTTGCTGCATCGGCCGGAGTGGCATTGGTGGGACCAACAGATATAGCATGCGGATATATTAGGCGGTTGCAGCTGAGATACAGTTGGTGGAGACGCCAGTGGTGGAAGACACGGCGTCGATCTGCTCAACTAAGGTAGCGAGCTCTCAAGTGATACTTCCACAGTATCAAGTATAAATAGTTTAGAGACAGTATAATATAGTTGGGTTAGTCGATAAGTGTAATTATTGGCTACGCGAACGGTGGTCCACGATGAAGGGCAATGAATACCAACCAAAAAAAAAAGTATATACATCGACATGCTGATGTCAAAATGCATTGAGCACTTGGAATGGCATGCTAATCAGATGGATGTTGGCATTGCTTACCTCTGCGCTAACTTGGACAAGGGGCTCTGATTTAGTAAGGCTCAATATTTTGAAGCTTGAACAAAAGCTTGTGATAATACTCGTATGGTTTGAAACCATCAGGGCATTCATGACATACCTTCGTCAAGTCAAAACTCATAAAATTAGGGTTTGTATACGCGACAGCCGACCCATGCTTCTATATTACTGACCTCGCCATGCTCTCATATCGCGTATTTCTTTACATCGACGACCCAACAGAACACGGGAGAAGTGAAGGCGGTATACAGGACTGTAAACATTTGCTACAAGCCGATTCTATTTGCTAAAATATGGATGATCTGAAGCGGCTTCTAAGTGTCTGTGTGCTTACCACTATACAATACCAAAAAGAGGCCAAATGCATGCTTCAGTATGACCAACTGGGATGCTGCCCATACACGTGTTCAGGGATCGTAGTAGAACGAG